ATAGAGATCTGCTATAGTTGTTCTTTACTCGCATTGGCTGCAGAGATCGTAAAATATGATGTATTATTCTGTTAAGTTATTCTTAGTTGCGTCATATTGAAACCAATTAAAAAAAAAATTTGCTACTATAGAAGCAGCTGGTCAAAATACAACTATACAAGATAGAATTTATTATTAATAGTCCTATGATAAACCTAAAAAAAATATTGCTTCTATTAAAGAAACTGGTCAAGATACATAAAAAAATAAAAGTTATATATGTTTATTTAACTAAATAATAATAATAATATTTATTTGCTGGAAGAAGCAAACGTCAGGTTAAACATTTTATTAATACAAGAAACACTACAATCTAATGGACCTGCCACGCATTCGAGCACGCGTCGAATTTGTCAAAGCTGGCCGAGCTTGTACACGAGGTGCAATCATTCTCACCTGAGCAGGAAATGGAACTGCCCTACGTACCGTCGCCCTCGCTTCTTTAACAGCAGCCGCAGCAGAACGTTCTCTCTTTCTCTGCATTATGCGCTGCTTGTAGTGTCTCGCGGTTCGTCTGAGGATAGGATCATCCTTGCAGACATTCAACCACTTACCTGACACTCGAGCAGCGCAAAGCAGAGACCTAGGATCCAACATGCGTAGGATCAACTGCGACACCTCCGGCGGAAGTTCGGAAATAAAATCCACCTTGGTAGGGTCGAGCCATCCCATCGCATCAAGGAATTTCCTAAAGTATTCCATGTTGCTGGTGCAGATACAAGGCGTCGAATGATCCATTTGCCAAAATTTGGGGTATATATATCCCCGGTCACGCTTCACGCTTCGGTGACCGTTCCGGAACAGTGATTCGACCAATCACGTGCGAGAAGGAGCGGACATATTTTTGCGTCGATCAAAGATGAAATCCCGGTATTTAGATATTGACATTAACGACTGGATCTGTTTCGACGAAATTTCACGCGTTCGTTGGTTAATAAATGACTTTTAATAAATAACTTTAATAAATAACTTTATTAATTGGTAATAACGTTAATTCCGGCAGTATACTAATTACACTTATCGCAGTTGTTAGAACGAGTCACGGTGATCTAATGGAAGAAAATTAATGTAAATATGTTAATAATATTAAAACTCGTGCATGCTATTCGAACGCGTCAACATTTCAATGAAGAGAAAATTTCGGAAATGACGATTTTTCATTGGCTATTTTTTCTGTTCACTCGCGGTTGTCTGCCCTGGGAAACGATAGTCTCTCAGCCGTTGCAACGTCTTCGACAATCTTTCATTTTGTCGCGTAAGCAGCTCGATCTTTTCGCGATTCGTATTCAATTGTTGCGTCATGTCTGCGACAGGATCTATGGCCTCCT